TGTTGTGTTGTGTTGTGTTGTGTTGTGTTGTGTTGTGAACGTGCTTGTGTTTCTGGTGAACTAAACATTTCCGTTGTCAACCTCTCGTGATAGTCCACGACACTCACACACCACAGGGTGGCAGCGATGCACCGCAGAGCTGTTTGCTGACTCCCTGGTCTTTTTTTTTTTTCCCCTTTCTCTACATCGTGGGCTCTGCAGCACTGAAATCACAGCACGTGTTTCAGGAAGAGACTGTAATGAATCCAGTGGTGGAGCCTCTACCAGTCTGTAATCTGTATTGTTATTTTTATACAGGTTAAATAAAATTTCACTGCATCTATACCTTTACTGCACCTTCTTCTTTTATACTTTCTGCATGATAAAAAAAAGCTGTAGAGCTGAATGACATTTGATCTGTTTTGACTTGTGACACATTGTTTAAGAGGTGAAACATTTACTCACATTGGTTTTTCCTGGCTTTCAGAAGTATCCTCTGCCTGTGACTCTACAGTGGTCTACAGTAATGTGGCAGTGATTGGGGCCTGGGGACGGATGGGTAGTTTTTAATGAGCCGCTCTGAGCAGCTCATTAAAACTAAAACCAAAGAAATGACTGAAACTAGTTCATTTGAATCTGTGTGAACTGAACTTTGACCCCAGCTCCTGTGAAGTGTGAACTTGAACAACACTGAACACTGGAGGATCAGCTGCAGGCTTAGTATTAAACTGTCTATAGATTACAGCAGTGAGACTGAAACCTCATTACAACTAATTATGGTACATTTTCTGAATGGATTCATTTCTAGTGACTTGGAGTAAAACCAAACTTTTAATTATTTTTACTGACAGGCCTTTATAACCTTCTTAATGACCCATCTGGATCCCTGCATCTCGCTCTTTTAGACTTATCGCCACAGCTTTGACCATATTATAAACGTGCTGTTAAACTTGACACTCCCATCATTTGCGATATGCCAGTGCTCTTAAATTGCATTAGAGACAGGACACAAACTGACACATAAATCCCTAAGTTCACCACTTGCTCCTCAAGACGCTTGTAGAATAAACCAACCAGCTACTTGGACCTTAAACATCACTGGGCTGCAGGCTGGTTTTAACCTCTGTTTTAAATATATACTGCCAGACTTCATGGCACACACACACACACACACACACACACACACTCACCTGCAGTGCACCACGACAGGTGTGTGTAAGGGCCTCTGGTGGAGGTAGTGTCCATGAACCTCCTGGATGAATCGCAGCAGGTTGCTCTTGCTGTCAGGAAGACCGCTGACGAGAAACATGGAGAAATGATGAGTCGAACCTCTTCGACCTCAAACATGATCAGAGTCGTTTGTTACTTCACAGGAACTAGTGACTTACAGCTCGGGCCAGGAGGTGAACTGGAGGTGGACGACGGTGCGCTTCAGGCTTTGGTCGCGGTACTGCAGGCTGATCATGCGCTCCACGTGCGTCGGCGTCGTCTTCTGCGTGGTCAGGCTGAGTGTGATTGGTCCCTGAGAGAGCTGCTGGCCGCGCTCTGTTGGGAAGTAGCGCAGAACTTTTCCCTGGAGAGAGAAGGAGAAGACAACATTAAAAACACAGAGAGGTAAATTAGATGAACTGTGGGTGGAATGGGTTTCTGTAGGAGCTGTTATCAAACAATACTTGATAAAAACTAACTGGTTATCAATGTGTGATCCTCATACAAACCAAACAATTTTCAGTATTATGTCTGCATGTTTTTCACTGATGCAATAACACATTAGAGATGATGTAAGAAAATGTAAGAGAAAACAAATTCGAAGAAATCTAAGACTAAAAGTTCATAGAAATCCAAATGAATTTTCTGTTAAATCACTGTGTAAACTAAACTAAACTAAAGTAAACTCAGTACCTTATCCAGCTCCAGCTCTGAAACCAGCATGACTATCAGTGACACCTTCTGCTCATACACCATCAGCCAGAAGTCTGCGGCCGTGCCGGTGAGCGGAGCCTGTGTGGCGATAAGGCGCGGGCAGTACGGCGACAGGTCCTCCACGTAGCTGGCGTTGATGTAGTCGTCTTTGCCCGATTGCAGTACCACGCGGTTGAGGTCGTAGGGCATGACATCCTGGTGACGGTTCTTCATGGTGTAGCAGCGGGCGATGGCGATGGAGAGCTGGCGGGCGTCCTTCTCCTGCTGGTCCTGCAGCTCTTTCCAGCGGGCGTCCAGCACCGACAGGCCACCCTCGGTCTCCGAGGGGTGCTCCAGGGAGTCTACTTGGGCTCTGTAACGTTCCAGTTCACTGTGAAGCCGGGCGACACGCTCCGGAGCTTGGTAAGGGTCGCCCTGGATCAAGAGAACTCCCTGTGAGCTCTTCTTTCGACGCTCGCCATCCTGCGGGTCGGCTTTAGTGGGCTGGAGGACGTTGGTGGGGGCCTTGGTGCCTCCTGGTTGGCTCTCTGGGCTCGACGAGAGGAGGTCGTCTGTGCTGGAGTTCTGCCGTTGAAAAAGCGACGTGGAGGGAGAGACAGTAGAGGGAGAGGGAAGAGTGGGTTGGGCTGTGCCTCCGGGGGTGGGGGTTGGTGTGGGTCTCTGCTGAGGGTTCAGCCCCAGAGAGGTAGAACCTGGAGAGGGGGACGGAGAGGGGGAAGGAGACGGGGAAGGAGGGACCGTGTTGGGTGCTTGAGCCGTTGAAGGACCTCCAGGTGAGGGCTGCATCATGTGCTGTGTTGGGGGGACGTGAGGACCATGTGGGCCCATGGAAGTGGGCTGCTGCGGGGCACTTGGAGGTACGTTTGGTCCTGGAGCTGAAGGGTACATAGTAGAGGGTTGAGGATGGGTCATGGGGAGAGGGGCCTGAGGCTGTTGGGGAGCCGCGGGCTGTGGTGCTAGGGGCTGCTGGGGCATCATTGGAGGCCCTCCTGGGTAGCACACTCCCCCAGAGTGAGGGGGCTGAGCCTGGGGTTGGCTGGGCATCCGCATGGGCTGCTGGGGCATGTTTGGTACAGGGGGCTGTCCAGGGTGGGGGTGGTGCTGCTGGGGTAAAGCACCGGGGGGCATTTGGGGCATAGGGCCCCTTGGCAGGTGGACCTGAGGACCAGGGACCATATGAGGTTGTGAGGCAGGAGGCACCTGTGGGTGCAGGGTGGGGTGAATGGGCTGGCTAGTGGGGGGCATGTAGTTCTGTGAGACTGGAGGCATTGGCTGACTTGTTGGGGGCATCTGTGCTCTGGGACCACCTGGTATCTGCATCTGTGGGTGGGGCGGAATCTGCTGGGCATTGGGGGGCAACATGTGTTGGTGAGGGAGTCCGGGGGGCATCTGTTGGCTGGGATGGGGCAGGTAGGGCTGAGATACAGGGGGAGCTGGCTGAGACGTTGAGGGCATTTGTGGGTGCGCAGCATGAGGGGGCATCTGGACCTGAGGGGGCCTTGGCATGGAGCCCGGCATCATCTGGGGGTGCGGCTGGGGCACAAAGCCCTGTGGAGTCTGATAGCCCTGGGGTATCCGAGGCTGAAAGCCATTTTGTTGCTGAGGCTGCAGCTGCCCAGGGAATGCCTGTTGGTACTGGGGAGGAACACCAGGCTGTGGGGGCATATATCCATGGGGGTAGGCTTGCTGGGGAGGGTGAGGGTGAGGGCCAGGAATAGCCCTTGGTCCAGGCTGGTACCCCTGAGGGAGGGGTTGGGGGTACTGCTGGGGGTGCTTCTGCTGCTGAGGTTGGGGCGCAGCAGTTTGCCCTGGGCCTCGAATGGGCATCCCTGGTTGGGGCATAAACTGTGGATAGGCCCCCATCTGTGGAGGCACAGTGTAGCCCGCTGAGGCTGCAGGTGGGACAGGGTGGTGTGGTGTGGGGGCGTAGCTGGGGATGGGGGCCTGGATGCTGTCCACAGTGGTGGTTGAAGGCCGGACTGGTGTCGGGGCAACAGGGCCAGGTTGTGGAGCCTGAGGAGGGGGTGGCCGATAGCCTGACACCGCTGCCTGGGGTGGCATTTGCGGAGGCATCTGTGGAGTCATCTGAGGGAGGGGCCCTCGTGGCAGGGGCCCCTGTGCTGCTAGAGCCCCTGAAGTAGGAAACTGAGCTATCCGTGCCAGAAGTTCTGGAGGCGGTAGGTTGGCGGGGAAGCGAGGAAGACCAGCAGCTGGAGCACCAGGCCAAGGCAGAGAGCTGCTGCCGGCCAGGTTAGCACCAGGAGGGATGAAGGCTTCCGGACCGGGCATACGAGTGGTGGGGAGGGCTGACATGTCAGGGGGGAGGCTGCGGAGCTCCTCAGGTAGGTCACCCCCCAAGGCCAAGATGGCTGCACTGAGCTGGGCCAGCTCCGGGTCCTCCAGGCTGGAGCAGGCAGAGTCGGCATCTGGAGCCTTTGGCTTCAGGGAGGGTTTAGCCGCTGTGGGCCGTGCTGGAGGCTTTTTCTGAGTCTCTCTGAGGACGAGACAAACAATTAAGAGGCACAGCATGAAAATCAGGGATTAAAACAGAAGTTTCGTCATTTGTACCATTATTGGACCTTTATTATTTCATGTCCCCCTTACTTTTCCAGGACGGGCTTCCTCTCCTCTGCCCTCGTCTGACACAGGGCCTTGGCTCTCTCCAGCAGACGGGACGCTTTGGCCTCCAGGTCATCGTAGAACTCCTTCCCTTCCTGTGACTTCTTCATCAGGTCCTCGTAGGCCTCGTACGAGCCCACCAGTCCCTGGACCGTGCTGTTCCACTGCTGCTCGGTCTGACTCAGGCCCTTGCGAACTGAGGCGTACTGAACATTTGCCTCCGTCAGAGCTTTCAGGATGTTCTCCTGAGCCGCCAGGTTCTGGTCAATGTACACCTTCACCTGCTCGTACTTCTTCAGCTGGTCCTCAAATATACGCTGAAAGGAGATCTCACAGTTAATGCTTGGAAAGCTAATGAAAATTCAGCCTCAAGATAACACAGAACAAACACTGACTGGTGCGGTTTAAGTGGGCAGATCCTCCTTTAATCACTCTAACAGATTACCTTCATGTCGGCCCGGTCAGTGGTGACGAGGGTGGAGGTGATGTCGTCCTGCTGGATGAGGTCGCGGAGCTGTTTCTCTAAAGAGCTTCTCTGTTCCCTCATTTCCTGCACCTTCCCCAGGATCCGCTTCATACACTGCAGCCCTGCTACTTCCTCTACATGTCGTTACATTCACAACAATATGAGATAAAATCAATGTTTTGTAAACATGTAAATGTCATTTCTGGTTATTCTCAAAAGCCTTTTATTGATGTTTTCTGGCCCTTTGATTTGTTCTTATTCTTTAACTTATTTGATTTAAATATGATAATAATATCAAGCCTGAAAAACTTTCATTCATTCATCAAACACGCCCTCACCTTCACTGAGCTGGGGCCGGGGCAGGGCCTCTCTCAGACTTTCCAGCGGCCCCCCCAGCAGACGCAGGTTGCTGATGTGCAGGTTCATGGCCCGGTGGAGCTCCGTGTTGGTGAAACTGGCCTTTTCGTGGGCCTCCATGTACTTCTCCAGGTCCCTGCGGATCTCGGCCAGAGCCTGACCCTGCGCCGCTGGGTGCATCTCGCCAGCAGCGGGGCCGCCGACCTCCTGGAGGGCTCGCACGCCGGCCTCGTCTGCCTCCAGGACGTCCCTGATCTCCTTCAGTGAAGACTCCACATCAGTGAAGACGCCCGAGAGCACTGCACAGGCAGGGATGTGACGGGCATTATTTACACAGAGGCACACAGCAAAGTGCCACAGAGCCAAACACAAACAAAAAATGTTATAAAACCAAAACTTTGATTGAGTGTATTCAACAGTCTGGAGCAGTAATTGTTTCATACACTTCTTACCCTGCATAGACTGGATGAGGCTCTTGACGGTGTCGGGTCGAACGCTGAGCGCAGCACATTTCTCCATCAGGACCGGAGGGATGTGACTGTACATGTCCAGGTTGTCCACAGACTCCGGCTCCAAGCCCAGAGAGTCCATGAACTGTCTGCAGGAGGAGACGAAACCAGTCAGCTCACACTGGTTCAGCTTCTGGTAAAATAAAAATCTATTCCCATTAGTCCTGCACTAGACACTTGAACCTGGGACTGGTGGAAGTCACCATTTGTAGACAAAACTGCTACAGGTAATATCTTTACTTAGGTTTTCTTCTTATAAAAAGTGACAGGTCCATAATTTGCAATTTGTACAGCACATTGCAGCGTTTCAGTGGCACTAAGGTTACACTACGGATCCAATTCCAAGGATCAAATGACATAAGCGCATTCGTCTTTATACCTAGGTAACAGCACAGGGTTGTGGCTACCGACAGACATGTCCTCAAACAGGACCTGACCATTACCTGAGATTCTTATAGATTAATAGTAAACTCTTTGGTTGGTAGGTTGGATTTTTTTTAAAAGCTCGCAATTTTAAATATATAATAATTTACAGCATAGTAACAGAAAAATAGTCACAAATTTGATCTCAGCCCCAAACACTCATGTACTCACTCTAGTGTCTCATTCTTGCTTTCTATCTTGACCATGACGTCCCTCAGCAGCTTGGCCTTCTCCTCACTGGAAGAACACAAACATAACTTTAACCGATAGACATTGATAAACTATCTTTAAGCATGAAAGGCTAAATGAACACAAACTTGTCTAATACGAACTCAGCATCCACTGACAGTGCCTACCTGTACAGAGAAGAGGCTTCATGAGCAGCCATTGGCACCAACTTGGCAAACAGGTCTGGTCCAGTGACGCTGGGGTCGGTGGGGTTGACTGGTAGAGCTTTCACCAGTGGTGCACCTGGGGGGGGGGGGGGGGGGGGGGGGAGCAACGAGGTGTTGGTTTTACAGGGACAGTAACAGACTCGATTTTATCAACAGAATTACACAGATCATCAGAACAGGAGCGATCAAAATCGCATGAGAAAGAAACAGCTGTTAGTTAGTTAGTTTATTTTTTTTAGCACAGCATGCAGCCAGTTTTAGTCAGCCTGTCTCACTGACAGTATTTTTAATGTGAGTAATCAGAAGTAATCAATTGAAGCGATTAGTCCACTGACTTTTTATTCTACAAATGATTCTACAACGATTTTGACAATCGATTATTTGTGTAATTCATTTCTTTAAGAAAAGAAAAAAATCACTGGCTTCAGCTTTTCAACTGTGAATATTTCCTGGTTTCCTTCATCTTATATAATTTTACACTGACTATTTTTGGGATTTGGACAGAAATAACAATACAGTCATTTGAGTACATCAGCTTGGACTGGATATTGGTGATTTGCATTTTTTCAGTATTTTCAGACATTTTAAAACCAAATCAGTGGCTTATTATTCAAGAAAATTGTCACACACACAAAGGGCTACACACATCAATCAGCAGACACATACTGCAACATGCAAATGCAGCTTTGCATAAACAAAGCGAGTGAATGCAGTGAAGCTTCTTGTTACCTTTGACTGAGGCCAGAGTCTCCAGAGAGGGAACCGTCTCATGATAGATGAAGTCGTTGTCCTTTTTGGCTGAATTAAACCTGGAGATGAAAGTTTAAAGACAACATTTTCACATACTGTAAGTTTCTTCTATAAGACACCAGCGAATCTACATGAAAATACCAACAACTGTGATACAGGACTTGTTGCTCACTTTCCACCGATAACATCCATGGTGAATCTCAAGGCCTCTTGCACACTGTCAGGTTGACCCTGGTTGTACCAAGACAAGGAAAAGGAGAGTTTATTAGTTTATTACACAAGTGGAAAACACACACCAAGACTGGTTGTAGTGACATTAAAATTATTTCATCTTGTGTTACAGGGAAGTACATGCTGTTCTACCTTGGCCAGCTTGATGGCTTCACTGAGTTTATCCATGGAGCTCTGCAGGTATGCTAACTGTTGGAAAAAGAAAGAAATGGAGCAGAGTGGAAAACTGGATTGAGCCGGACGAAGGTGAAACATTATTTTTATTTGAGACATTTAGCTGAAGGAAAAGTAGTGTGCTATAACTGAAACAGTAAACTCAGTAACTGCTATCCTGTTCTGTAGCAGGAAGTTGAATGTGTGTATGTAATTTCTTCACCCTGAATTTAGTCTATAAGGTAACCTTAGTGCTTCCAAAATGCTGTGTAGTAGTGTCTGAGAGAAAAACAGTTTGACAAGATTGTCAAGATTTAGAGGCTAAGACTGATGCCACTAGCTTAGCAAACAGACTGGCAACAACCATATTCTTTACCATTGGACAGAGCCAGAGCTTTAAGCTAAGCTAACTGTCTGCTCATTCTTGCTTTATAATTAGCGTACAGACATGAGAAATCAAATAAGTCTCAGGTTTCCCTAAATGCCCACCTATTCCTTTAAAAATGGTGGAACCACTGGAGAACCTTATTGAAAGTGATACACAGCCTGGAGGTAAGAGCCTGAGAGGACAGAAAAGTCACCATCGTGGTGACTGAGACTTGATTTTTATTTGACAGTGGTTTGTAAAAGTGGTTCTGAATTGAATTATATTCAAGGAAAAATTGAATTTGTGTTAATTCTTCACAAATTCCTGGAGGAACTGTTCATTTCTATTTTGAATTATGCAGCAACCAATAGTGAAAAACACATAGATCAAAGCCACAGCAACCTGATAGCAGATGTAATAAAAATCCTGAGTGTGAAATGTGGTCCTACCCGCTCTCCGTACTTCTGCTGCTCCTCAGCCTGTTTTCCCATATGGAGCTGTTGAGAGAAAAAACAAGTCAGAGAAAGGAGGAAATGTGTTTTGTGTCTGTGTGTGCATCTGAGTAATCAAATTCCAACAAACAAACACAATCATACATGCACGGAATTACCACACGCACACAGACACACACAGTTGGGTGTGTGCGTGTGTCTGAGTGCCTCTCTGCCATTAGACTCACATGTGCAATAGCAGCAAAGTAGTAGATTTTCATCTGAACCAGTTTCTTCCAGTCCTTCTGGATCTTCCCCAGCATGGAGGCTGTCTCCGAGTTCTCCAGAGCCCTGCAGGCCTCTTTGTAGTAATCCACCACCTGCAGCGCCACAGCCACACTTATACCTTCTAATATTTGAATTATTGATTGATATGATGTTATTAAATGTGATGGAAATATAATGGTAAGACACTGACCTGAGCGCTGATGCGTGCAACCAGGAAACTCTTCCTGTTGTCCAACATGGACTTTTCCAGAAGACACTCCTGAGCCTGGCCCTGGGAAGTAGACACTGGTTGATTTTCCAACGAGCACGCGAGCGAGCATGCGTGTGTGCGTGTATCTACATACAGTATGTGTAACCTACCAGCATAAGGTTGATGTTGAGGTTAAGGATCTGGTGGCTCATGTCCACACTGAAGTTGTGGCTGAAATGATCTCTCAGGTAGGAGAATGCCCCGGCAGAGCACTGGAAGTGGGTACACGACACCTTCATCCCCTGAAAGCAAGGCAGATAGTCAGTGGGACTACGTATATCACATACGGTACATGATTGTGTTTGTTTTGTGTATACATGTGTGTCTTACCTCCTCAGACACCCTGTTATCCATGGCTCCCAACATGGAGTGCAGGGCCCCTACAGAGAATCCAGAGATAGGTTCAGTTAACACTTTTTCACTTTTTCAAGTGAAACAAGGCAAGAGTCTGAGTGGTCTCACCCCATCACCCAGTCTTTTTACAGGATATCCTGCAAAGATAAATACGTTTATCTGCTTTAATGAGCGTCTATAAATTGCTCTAGGTGACTTCACTCACCAAGATTGTAGAGGATGCAGGCTTGCTCATAGCTGATGTCATCATGTGTGACTGTTTTTCCAGAGAAAATTTCAGTCCTGCACAAAAACAAAAATTTAAAAAGGGCATATTACAGAGCATCTGTGATTATTAGATATTTTACTGTGTTGTTATTTTGTCCACCTCTCTACATTATCATTTAGGGCACTGAACTGACATTTTTATCCAGATGAAACCGCAGTGACTGGAATTCTAAAATAAGCTCCAACCCTCTGGAGTGTAGGCAAACAATAGATCAGACTGCAGGAGGACTGGTGTGTGTGTGAATGCTCAGTCCTGCCTCTGTTATCTACCTCTGTGTGTGTGTGTGTCTATGTGTGTGTCTGTGTGTGTTACTACCATGAGATGGGTACAGCAGCCTCCTGGCTCGATCCCATGGGAACTCTGCTCTGGAGGTAATGCAGCTGGCCGAAGTACTTCCTCAGTGTGCTGCATCCCTCGAAATCCCTCGTCACATTCACTGCGCTCTGTGGAACAGACACAGACTCATGTGCTTGATCGGCTGCTCTTCACCACTGAAGCTACACAAATCACCACATCTGGAAACACACCGTGACCTGACTCATCTGTACATCGTGTAATGTTAAGAACTGATTATTTTCTTGATGAGCTCATTTTTAGTCGTCATGTGGACTCGAGTCTTCGCTGGGATCAGATCTTGGATGGATGTGCAAACTGACACCATCAGATATCCCTCAGCTGTTAGACAGCAACATTTGACTCCATTAGAGTGTCCCACAGGAAACAGACAGAGTAAAGACAAACCACAAACTCTTATGATTACATCCTCATCTCTGATGAGCTCAGCTGCATCTTATTTGAGAGCAGGTTCTGTAGTTGTGAAGCTGGATTCTGATTTACTTAGGGTTGATAATATATATGTGATAAACTCTGTATAGTTCTATAGATCTTTGCATGATTTCTTCACAGTTTGAGGCCCTTGTTTCCTGTGAAACAGTTTGTGTCAACTGTTAAATTCCCACTTTCGTCATCCTGACTTTTCCTTACTATAAGTAAATCAACAAATAACTGAAAAAGCATTTTGAAAGTGTTCACATTTCCTCTTACACAGGTGGACTTGTAGCTGTTATACATGAGAATGAACCGAGCCTCTCGTTTGTCGTATCTTAGTGGATGTTAGACAGTGGAATAACTTCAACTACATTCACAAGCAGCTTTAAAGGAATTCCACATAATGACAAACAGGTTGGAAAATATTTCTGCTGAATCTGGAGACGTTTCGCACATGGCCTACCTGCCGCATTGTCTCCAGTTTCTTCAGCTGTTCGTTGTAGTTGTCCGGATTCTCTCCATAGTTCTTCAAGATGAACTAGCCGAGAGGAGACAGGAAGAGCAAGCAGGTTAACATGGTGCATTTTAAAAATCCTGTTCCTTACTTGCTCATGCTGAAAAAAGGCTGTTTAGGTAAAAACAAAATCCAGACCAGCAAAATATGTTTTAATATGTTTGGCTTTAATAGAATCATATTTAAAAACATACATCATGCAGGATGACTGCCTAGAAAATATAGGTTTTGGGGGCGCCTCGGTGGCTCACCAGGTAGAGCACATGGGTTTAATCCCAACCGCAGCCCTTTGCTGCATATCATCCCCTCTCTCTCCCTGACTTCCCTGCCTATCTCTCACTGTCCTACTGGAATAAAGGCAAAAAGTCCAAAATTTTGAACATTTCCCTTGAAATGTCTTTAAAATGAAAACAAGCTACTTAATGTGAGGTCAGGAGGTAAACAGCCCTGCAGACATACTGATTCTCTTACTAGTCCATCTCTTTCTGTTTTATAATGAAATCATGGAGGCAGGAAGGTCACAGGGCTTCAGGAGAGATGCTCAATGACACAGCAACAGGACAGGCATTGTCCCGCTTTGACTTCCACAAGACAAATATGAGCTGTTCTACCTTTTGTCTGAGGTAAACACATGAAACTGTAGCCAATTTAGAGACAGTCTTAAATGATTAACTGATTGAAATTAGCCAATAAGGAACGCAACATTATTTTCTCACATATTATACTTTAACTTGTTCCAAAATCTGAATTAAGTTAAAATAATACCACCACCATGTCAGTTAGCAATATTTTTCACACAAGACAGACAGCATTTTTGAATGAAGGTGCTGATGTGGACAGTCCATTGCAAAATACAGTAACCAAAGAGGGCAAAGATCTGTTTTTATCTGCTCCAGGAAGGAGCTGAAAAATAGATCACCAGATTAAAAATTTTCTTTCTTACAAATATCAGACACGTGAGCTTGAAAATAGGTGATGTTTTTAATTACTTGAGAAATCAGTATGCATCACAATGAGCAATGACTTTTGAAATTCAACAGTGACTTTCATTGTCTTGGTCATTCTTTAAGCAAAAATACTAAACATTTCCTCTTTCCAGCTTAAATATTTTATGTTTTTCTTTCTTGTACATAATAGTAAACAAAATATCAATAATATATAGTTTTTGATTGTTGGTGAGACAAAACAAGACATCTGAGCACGCCACCTTGGGCTGTGGGAAATTCTAATTTCTGAGATTTTATGGAAATGAAAGTAATTATTAGTTGCAGCCCTACATATCATGGCTTATACTTCTTTTGTGCAACATTCAAACACACATGAAGGAATTCTCTCTATGGAACGATTTGAAAGCAATCAATAAAGAGTCCCCAATGTATTGGTTGCTTCTAATGTTATGTTTGATATTCACTTTGTTATGTATCTATTAAAACCTGTTCATTACCAGCAGTATTGTAACAGGTGTAACTTAGTGACTGCGTTGTATATTTCCCAATTAATGTAAATAACAGAATGATCAAATATGTTATATATAACATATCCGTTATATATATATATATATATATATATATATATATATCCGTTGTCTTGTCTCCTTTGGCATGTGAAGAAGCCCCTGCGTCCAGGTGCATGTGACAATGAGATCACTGTTTATTATGTTCACGTCGGCAGTCTGACCGGGCCGTGAGGAGCGAGGCGCCTCATTTTTAACAGTGCGTATCTATGACTTCAGTGCAGAGTAGTTTGGTTCATTTCTAGGAGTTAGCCACTTGGTTTAGAGCTAATTACGAACTTCGACTTGGGGTTCTAGCTTATTATTTAGCTAGCAGGATGCTAACATTAGCAAACAAAAGGCGGTGGTCAGGGGGATTTGCCAGTCAGAACCTAGCTACCCGTTCTGGAAAATTCTATCCCAGACCAGTGACAGCTACTGGCTCGTTTGACCGGTGGCTAACGTTAGCTTCTTGATTAGGTTATCCACTCGTCCATAATCCCTGCGTGGTTGACTTTCGACCTCAGCCCTGTTGCTCCATTCCCCACCCAGCTCACCTGCCTGACGGACGGGCTGAACTGGAACTCTCCTGCCTCCTTCAAATCCAGCCAGATCATCGGCATCCGGGGGACCGCCTCCATCGCGGCCGACTTTAGACGGCGCTATCAGCCGTTACGATGTCCAAACCTCGTCGGTAGTTTTGTGGACGTTAACGGTTTTCCAGAAGAAAGCTTTCCTCCCAAACAACTGTGTCATGTATCCATTTACACTTCAACCGGAAGTAAGACGCGTAAGTGACGTAGCCCCCAATACGTGGCGCGCGGATTTGTTGGAAATGTAGTCAGTGGTGCAACTAGACTTGCTTTCTATTTTCTTCGAAAAGCAAAACGTATATTGAGCTATTCGTTAAAATGAAGTTGATATTATCACGTCTATTGCTGTTCCTATCTTCATTCTGTAGAAAGCATATAGTTCTCCCGCTATAATACTGTAATAAGGGTAATAAGAGTAATTTATTTTATACAACAGTTAGTTCCGACCAAGTAATTTGATTGGACAAGAGAAACTCCATGAGTGCTGATAGAGAGTAGGCCTATAGCAGCACTGCGACTTTTAACTACATGTATCACTGCGCTTTACAGGTGTTCTATTAACCGTTAATTAGCGTTACGTTAACGGTCGTTATCTATCTTAGATTGTAAAAAAAAAACAAAAAACTTTGCAACGTAAAGATGAATATATTTCCAGAAATAGCATTTGAATGAAATGATGTATGGTCGTCAGAGGAGGATTATGGGAATGAAACAGGCGTGGATAATATGACATCTTCAGGTGAGGTGATATTGCTTAAATAGACAGATCGTGTTTTCTTTCTGACACCTGAATGATAGAAAATATCAAGTCACTTAACTCAGATTTCAAAGTCTTTTATTAAATTACACATTTACACAACATGAGAACTCACATTCTTATGGACACACAGAGTAAAACCAGCAAACATGAAGCAAGAGTCCAGAAAAACATCAGCTGCAATGAAACAAAATCCGTAAATTTAAAGCTGTGAGTGAAGGAATGTTAAAATTTCATAAGCTGCAGGTAAGTGAAGGTAAAAGTCCAACAGCAGTTGTGCATGAAGTTCAAGTTATTATTAATAATCATATAACAATCATAAACATACAGTTCATTCGTTTCAGAGCAATTCTGACTGAATAAAAGGTTTAAATGTCACATGTTATTCCTGTGCCTCGATTTCTCTGTGCGAATTTATGAATTTCCACGATTTAGGTCTTTATTATCATTATTATTATTGTTATTATTATTATTATCATTATTGTTGTTATTATTATTATCATTATTATTAGTAGTAGTAGTATTATTATCATTATTAGTATTAGTATTAGTATTATTATTAGTATCATTATTATTATTATTATTATTATTATTATCCCACCTGTCCTCACCCAATGGCAGATAATTTATTTTTAAAAGTTATGATCATTTGTTACAAGAATATTTTCAGTAATATTTTATCGTATTAACAGGAATAATATCAGAATATTTAAGAACTTAAACATATATTTTTCAGAAATATCTGCTGGATTAATGGTTTGTTTTCAGGGATAATATCACAGGAATATTATTATAGAAATTCACAGAAATGTTTTCAGACACACTGCAGTGATTTGATGTAAAAGTTAGTGTGTCTTTAGTTGTAGCTGGGGCAGGGGGTATTTGCTCAGGGCACCATACGAGCTGGAACCGCCACTGGTCACATCAGCTCGTGCTCAGTTGAAATTTCTCACCTTGTTTGACCATGTTGTGTTTCTCTGTGTTGTTTCTCCTCCCAGTCAGCAGATGTCACTGGAGCATCTCAGGAAGCGGCTGCTGCTGGAGGCGGCGCAGACCAGACAGAATGATGATGTCAGAGCCCTGATGGCCAATGGGGCTCCGCTCACGCCAGACTGGGTGAGGTTGATATGGGTTAATTACGAAATAATCTTCAAGCTAATCCATGATAAAATGAGCGTGAACGCTCATCTGCTACTAAGAACCAGAGATTGTCAGCCATTATTTTCATGTTGGACCATGGAGGTATAATACAGGCATGTGTTGGACATGGTGCAGTGGCAGTGTGACAGTAAAGCTGAGGCCTCATGTATTGAGCTAGAAAGATAAGACAAAGTAAAAGAAATCCTGAGCAGACACTTGAAGGAAAAAGCAACACTCAGATACTCAGTTTTTACTGTAAACTGTTTGCTTGCACATCTACTGTATATTTTTAACACATTAAATATATATAATACACATTATACTGTATATATACAGTATATACTGTATATATACTGTGCCACATGTGTCTGAAACCTATTGAACTATAGTCTGGGGCTGCAACTAACAATTTTTTCACTTATCTATGAATCTGACAGTTTTTGATCAACTGATTAATCGTTTAGTCTATAGATATCAGAAAATAAAAATTATATATATTAGAATTTTCCTAAAAAAGGTGATGTCGTCAAATCCCAAAAATTTTTCATTCACTTAAGACAAATAAAACCTCACAACTTAAAAATGACTTCAATGATTAATCATTAATCAATTACCAAAATATCCACCCATCCATCCATTGACTAACTGATCAATCAGCTTATTGTTTCAGCTGCACTATAAATATATTTTACACAGGCACTCAGATTCCAGTAGTTGCAGAACATAATTTGTTTTCATAAACATCTGTTGCACTGTAACAAGCTGTTTTTAAAACTACCGAGCATCAGTGTCTTTACTTTTTTTTTTTTATCATAATCCTTATTTCTAATACATTGATTTGGCATCCAAGCTGATAAAATAAGTGTTTTACATACTTTTTAATCATTAAAATAATCAAAGAACCATTTTTTTAAATAATTCATCATTATTTTAAACATACAAGCTTACATTAAATAACTACACTGATGCTTCCTCTGAGTCTTATCATATCTATATATAACGTTCATTTATAATTTACTGCTCGCAGGCACACTGTACGCCACGAATGTAGTTTTATTGAATGTCCTCTTCCCCCTGATGCTCCCTGACGCCACCTGTCTCGCCTGCACAACGACAGATGACAGATTGAAGTGTGTCAAAATGAATCATATTTAGAGTCGCGGTCTGTCTGTAGAATATATCACATTTGAAAACATTTACATAGAGGAGTAGTCACAGTGTTAAAGGACACAGGATTTAGTGGATTTATGCCATGTTCTCAATCATGATGTCTGCATTTTTAAATAAGCAGAGAAATTGCAGCTTTCATCTTGTTAATTTATTAAAACAACCGCATCGCAGATCATTCATATGTATGAATTCTAAATCAAGCGTGAATGATGGTTTGATTTGTCTCCCTCTCTTCCTGAGTAAAGACTACAGTGTGAATATAAAAGAGGATAATTTAGATTCCTGTTCCCGCAACACTGGTGGATTACCTGTCTTGTGTGCCGCAGTGTATGAGATAGAGAACTCCTGCATCACGTCCTGCTTGTAGTCACTGAAAAACTGTTTGTGTTTACAGTTTATCTGGCACGGTGTGAGCGCTGCATTAGAGGAGACTCAGAGATGTGGAGGTTGTTATGTCATGTGATGACAGAAATCACTGCAGTGAAGGAGAAGTTTGGGGCCTAAATGTATCTGACAAAGGTGAGTACTTCAAGACTCCTGTTACAACTTCTGAGTCTGATAGGCGTTTACCAGACAGAGGGCTCCGTCAGAAGAGGCTTTCAAATTGCATTATACGGAGGTGAGCTTGACACATACAATGCTCTTTTAATGCTCCTTGATATCCATGACTAACGCAGCAGCAGCCTGAAAAGTCAGAGAAATTATAGCAGAAGTCTGTTTCTAACTGTAACATGAACGAACTAGAAATTCCTCCTTCTTCATCAACCACAATCAGTTTCACTGTGGAGCCTTTGCTGTGTTTAACTCAGCAGCTGCGAGGTGGGATTGCAAATAACTGTGTAAATACCAACCGTGGAGTTGCTGGCACTGTATGAAAAAAAAAAAAAAAACTTAATGTCAAGTGAAATCTCCCTGGATAAAGATAACAAAAAATCCTCTTAGAGCTTTAATCACCTCCAGCTGCTCCTTTTTTTGTAGCACTTCTCTCTCCTCTTTTCCTCCAGCTGGGCTGTCATCACCCCACCTCAGAGGCGCTGCTGCGTGCCGGTGTCGGTGGACAGGACCCCTCGCCATGTGGCCGCAGGGAGGGAGGGTCATTAAAGGCTGCTGTCATTAAATATAACAAGGTAATTATAAATAATAAAAAAGCAAGTACTTCAGGTTTTTTTATTTTTTGCAAGCATGAAGGGTTTTCTGATGAAACACTAGAAGATCTCTACTAGAATACTAGAACTTAATCCCACAGGTGTTTGATGGGGTTTGAGGTCAGGACCCTGTGCAGTCCAGTTCTTTGACATCAAACTGGGAAAACCATTTCTTTATAGACCTGGCTTCATGCACTGGGACATTGCTGCTACAGAGTTAAAAGGCAAGGGAAGTTTATTTGTGTAGCACATTTCCCTAATGCTAACAAGGCAATTCAAAGAGCTTTATATAAAACATAAAAGACAAGAACACTGTTGTCTAAAATATCAATGTATGGAGCCCCTGTGTCCACATACCTCTGATCTCTCCTACCTGCCTAGTCACAGACATCTGTTCTCATCACTTCCCGTTCGTCTCCCTCTCTCTCTTGTGTTCTTTCCTCTTCTCGGCACTGGGGGGCGCTGTGCATCTGTGCAGAGCGGCACCAACATCAACGCCAAAAGATATGCTAAAGATGACGCCGCTGCACCGGGCAGCCCTGCACGGCCACAGGGAGGTGGCCGAGCTCCTGCTGAGGTACGGCGCAGACGTCCACCACTGCCTCAGCAAGTTCGACAAGACGCCCTTTCGACATCGCCATGGATACCAGCAACACTGAGCTGGTGATACTGCTACAGGTGGACAGACAGGAGGGTGGGGATGGTTGGGGGGGGGGGGCATTTTGGGGAAAAAAAGACAGAGCAGACATTCAGACAGAGTTGAGGAGGGGAAAACAGGAAGGGAGAAAGACAGTGAATGAGATGTGAGGAGTCAGACAGAGGGGACAGAGAAAAATAGATGGCGATGAGAGAAAGGCAAGAGAAAGAGACATAATGGGGAGAGGGAGAAAGAATATGATGTAGGCGGAGAGAGATGGAAAGGGGAGAAAGCTTATTACGGGGTCGAGGGAGAGATAA